GCACGTTCGGAAATTTGTTTTTAAATTAACCTAATTCAACACCTACACGGTGTTCGGACATTTTCAGAATTACGTGCCTTTTACTGACGTTCCACTTTCAAAATAATTGGCTGCTATAGTTACTCAATCAACTCTACTGAAGCGTTTAATGTAAGAAAGAACCAGTTGAAACCACTTAAAAATGAATATGTTAGATTAAAAGAGGTACTAGAATGTCCACTTTTAGCAGCAACAATGATACTGCGGCATTCATTGGTGGCGTCAATTTGGTCGTTGCACTTGATTAAGAATTAAAGAACAGAAAATGAACAACATACATTTTGAGATGGCACTTCTTTAATATAATTTCCAGAATCAATAGCATTATTCTTGCTGCTTTTCTCTTCATGCTTGGCCAGTTTTAGGGCAATTCGCAATGGGATACAATATACAGAAGTTGGTCCGGCGATTTCTAAATGGACTGTAACTCTCAATTAAACTAATTAACAACTCTCGATTAAACTAATTAACAAACTACTCTGTAACATAGCTTTATCTTTATTAAACTAATTTTTGGAAGACGCTCAGGCTCCCACAATCACTCTCTGCTTCGCCATTGAAGCCAACTCTAAAGTAATTAACATTCTTTTTGTAAACAGTAACGATGGCAGCGCCATCTGGCTTCAGAGGGACTTAACACTCCCCCGGATTGAAATTACAAAATTTCAAGAAATTATACAAACATTCTTAAACAAAGTTAATATACTTATAAACAACATAATATACTATTACTATAACTAGAGCTATTACAATACTATAACAATACAAATGCAAAAATATTTCAGTTTTTCTATCGGAAGAACGGCGATCTTTGTTATCGCTCTTTTTAATTCTCCTGATTTTTGTTTTGATTTTAACCGTTCTTACTTTATTGTCAGATCCATGATAGACTTTAATAACCCGACCTAATATCCATTTGCAAATTGGCAGATAATCCTCCTTGACGAGTACCATAGTACCAACAGAAATATTGTCCTTCTCTATCATCCACTTGTTTCTCTGCTGCAGAGTTCCTAAATAGTCATTTGACCATTTCTTCCAAATAATCTGAACTACTTTCGTTGTTCTCTGCCACCGGCTTAACCGATTTTCATTTACGTCTATTATCATTGGCTCCGGAATCGTCTGTATTGATCTCCCTATTAAGAAATGACCTGGGGTCAAAACGTCATAACAATCAAAATCATTGGAAATAGGTGTAAGAGGTCTCGAATTTAGTATTCCCTCTACTTGCACAATTATAGTTTCAAACTCCTCATATGTAAAACGCAAATCTCCTATCGTTCTCTTTAAATGATACTTAAAGAAACTTTACGGACTTTACACCGGCTTCCCATAGCCCTCCGAAATGAGGGGACTTGGGAGGTAATAAAGTTCCAGTCTATTCTTTCGGACGTGAAATATGAGGCCAAAGTTTTATCAGGAAAATTAATTACATTGTAAAATTTCTTCAACAGAGAATTTGCTCCTACAAAATTAGGGGCATTATCAGTGAATATTTTCGCACATTTGCCACGTCTGGCCATGAAACGCTTAAGAGTGGCAATTAAAGCACTAGAAGTTAAATCTGACAAAGGCTCAAGATGAATAGCTCGTGTCACAAAACATATACATACACAAATGTAAATTTTATTTAGCACGCCTGTCTTTGATGCTTGTAAGTCACATAAAAGGGACCGCATAGATCCAAACCTGAAACACTAAATGGGGGTGATCTATTAACTCTCTCGTATGGCAAATTGCCCATAATCTGTGAAGACAAAATCGGTTTGCATTTAAAGCATGTCACACAAAGATGTACTGTTTTTCGCGCCAAATCTCTACCACCTAATGGCCAAAATTTTAAACGTACTGCATTCAATAATCCTTGGGGGCCAACATGCAATAATCTTCTGTGCACACTAGAAAAATAAATCTTACTTAGCTTAGAATTTTTTGGTAGGATTGCAGGATATTTCTGAGAAAATGGTAAAGAAGCTTTTTCAAGACGGCCACCAACGCGAATTATTCCTTTACGATCAACAAAGGGATGTAAATTTTTTTAAGTTACCTGTTATGTCCTTTTTACAAAATAGAACCTTCTGCTCATGCTTAATAAGCATTTCCTCAGCTATTCTTACCTCCTCTAGTTGAAGAGGGCCTACCTTTCTTGATTCACCTTTCCTGCAATTACAAATAAACCTAAAATATAAGAAAGAACATTAATTATTCTATAATAATTGTTACTAATATTCAAGAGTTCGTCTAAAACGTTAGAGTTCATGTCAATCAACATAGTTCTCTCTCTCAGAAATGTCATTAATGTCACTAGAACTTTTGCTTTCTTGCACAAAGGACTCCCTTTCATTTGGTGTTAGGTTCTCAACCTCTGGAACTATTGGTTGTAAGCACTTGTAGGGAAGATGCGGCTCTGTAAAAAATTCTGCACAAGTCCACCACTTAGAATTGTTCACTAGAGAAGAGGCACTAACTCCACGCGTTAGAAGATCGGCTGGATTGTCTTTGGTTGAACAATAAAACCATGAATCTGGATTAGTCAACTTCTGAATCTCGTCGACGCGATTTTGAACGAAAGACTTCCATCTCCTACTTGATCCTTTGATCCAATACAGTGTAACTTTAGAATCACTCCAAAAAAAAAAGATATTAGATGAACCTTTACGATCTAAAACTTTTTTAACTTCCGTTCCCAATCTTGCAGCAATCAGTGCACCCAGCAATTCAAGTCGAGGCAAGGAAGGAAACTTTTTTGACAGGTGAAACTCTGCTCTTGGAAGCCAGCAAATTCACAGAAATTTTTTCTTGATTCTGTACCTTTACGTAAACGGCTGCACCATACAACTTTGACTTGCGTCAGAAAAAAACATGGATCTCTATATTTTCATCACATGAATCCAAAGCAAATCTTGGAACACTAATGTTACTAAGTTCTGAAAGCTCGCTACACACCACTACACACTGAGACCACTCGTCGTTCAAATCAGAAGGAAGCTCTTCATCCCATGGTAATTTACGTAACCATAGCTTTTTGTAGTAAAAGTTTTATTCTAACAGTGAATGGTGTGATGAGTCCAAGAGGATCATATATTTTTCCAGCTGTTTGGAGGATGAAGCGTTTGGTACTTTTCTTTCTCCTCGAAATTTTCGTCAAACAAGAAGTCTCTATACTCAAACTATCTTCCTGAATGTTCCATTGAATTCCTAATACCTTCAGTATCTTTTCATTTGAGCTTAGGGATGAATATCAAATTTTCTTCTTCCCATTTTTTAGCTAAATGATAATCATTCGTCACCCATTTGCGTAGATTCATCCCAGCTCCACGCATAATTTCCTTTGCTTCCCTTGAAGTTTTCAAGGCTTCTGATACATCATCTGCTCCTGTAACAAGATCATCAACATACATACATGTATCAAGAATTTGAAAGGTATCGGGATACACATTTCTGTACTTTTGGATATGCAGCTTTTATAGTTGCCGCTAACAAAAAAGGACTGGAATTAACACCAAAGAGCACACGCTTAAATCTATACACTTCTAGCTGATCGTCGGTATTCTGCAAAGGTGTATCAATATTCTTAACAAATAAAAATCTAACTGCATCTCTCTCTCGATCTTTCTCAGCTAACACGATCTGTAAAAATGCCTTTTTGATATCTCCTAAGATTGCAACTCTATTAAGTCTAAAATATATCAGCAAGTGAAATATATTTTGATTCAACTTAATACCAGGCCACAAGCAATCATTCAGGGACAGACTACTATTTCATGTGAGCTCGCATCAAATACAATACGCATTTTTGTCGTAATGCTTTCTTCTCTATAAACTGGCTGATGCGGCATATAAAAACTGGCTTGTTTACTGTTTTCGTGGAATCTAATACTCTTTCTATTATTCCTTGATTTAGGTACTCTTCTAAAGTTTCTCTATATTTCAGGTATAATGTATTATCATGCTGCATTTTTCCTCATCAGGATTTTATTCTTTTTCTGCGACACCAAAATTGTCGCCTAAATGTTCCCAACGTTTTCTTCCAATGCAGGCTAACAATATACCGCCATCTTTGAAACTAACAGTTTTGTTGAATATCTCTAATGCTTTATCTTCATCGTAAGAATTGGGATCATCTCTGATACCAATTGATTCCAAATCAAAAAACTTCTTCAACTGTGCTTCGACATTGTCATAAATTAACCCACAATGCATTAATTGTTTCTCATGTGGTAAATCTTCAATGCTACCGCTTACCAAATACCCAAATGCTGAGTTTTGTAACACTAAATTTGTATTTGGTACATAAATTTGCCCGGATCTTATCAAATCGAAAAATATTTCAGATCCTAAAAGTAACTGAATTTTACCCGGTTTGTGAAAGTCTGGATCAGCTAACGTAACTCTCCTTGTGGAATCTCAATATTACAGACATTCAATTTGTCTAGAAGGCATCAAATGAGTAATTTTCGGAATTACGAAAAAATCTAGTTTACGACTGTATGTGTTTCCTCTATTTAAAATAACCGCACTTATTTTTGATTTCACCGTTGTTGAAATCCCAGATAAACATCCTACTGATACGTTTACATTTTCTCTTTGCAAATGAAGCTTCTCAGCTAATTCCGATGAACAAAGATGAATCATACTTCCACTGTCAAGCAAAGTTCTGGCTGGAAATATTTCTCCTCCATTTCCCTTAATATAAACAATCGCTGTCGATAGTAGGACTCTATTAACTGCATTACAATTTTTATTTACATTAGCTGTCATAAAACACTCGTTATCCTTATTTATAAATGGCTTCGCTACTTCCGTAGACGAACTGGCGTCTGACTTTTGATCCGACAGAGAGGCGATTTCGCAACTCTCTCTATTTTGGGAAATCGAAACTTTTTCTCGCTCATAACACAGTAACGAATTGTGCTTTTTCCTGCATAGCCTACAAGAGTAATTTGAAGGGCAATTTCTCACTCCATGATTTCCAAACAGCAGAAACATAAGTTGTGCTTTTTAACATACTCGACTCTATCCTTTAAGCTGAATTTTTGAAATTTAGGGCATTTAAATAATTTATGTTCCACATTACACAGTTTACAAATTAAAGCATGTTTCTCAGTCACACATGAAACCATTGAAGAAACCTTTGATTGACTTACTGAAGCTTTTGATTTAGACATTACTGGAATTCTAGAAGCGTTTAATGTCCTCGCGTGATCCTTTAGAAATTCTAATAACTCTGTAATGTTCGGTATTTTTTCTTTCTTTAAATTCCTTTCCCACCATAACTTAGTATTCTGATCAAGTTTCTGGCTAAGAATAAAGGCAAATATAGCGGATGAAACCCCATCTAACTTTTGTTCTAAACATTCTAACGATCTTACAACTTCACTTGTAACATCAATTAAATTTAGAATCGCAGAAGCTGACTCGTTTTGAATAACGGGAATACTCATAAATCTTTTAAGATGAGCATACACTTGTTCTCTAGGATTCGAGTATCTTTCTTCAAGAAGAGACCACGCTAACTTATAATTATTATCCGTTATAGCTATCGTTTGGATAATTCTAAAAGCATCTCCTTTCAGTGCTGATTTCAAATATTGCAATTTTACAGCATCTGATAAATTTGGGTTTTGATCAATACTCGCTTTAAAAATGTCCTTAAAGGAAAGCCAAGAATGCATTTCTCCTGAAAATGTCGGTAACGAAATCTTAGGTAAACGCACAACAGTATTTTCAGAATTTACTGCATTTTCTACTTTATTTTCTTTAACAACGTTCGACAATCTATTATTCATTTCAAATTCTATATCAATAATACTACTATTGATTTCATCTTGCTCACTGAAGATTTTTTCGATATTTTCTTCACTACTTAAATTGATAATAGAATCAAAAATATTATCGAATTCATTTTGCAGATTGTTAAATTTAGTTTTTAACAATTCTAAATCACTAACACTTAAATCTGGCTCACAAAGTTTCTTTTGCAACTTCGATAAGATATTTTTTTGTTTTCTCTTTTTAATGAGAACATCTTTCAGTTTCGTAGCCATTTTCGCTACACTTATCAATAATAACACAAACTTAATTCAGAATTTACTAAACAGTTAACAATGAATAGTTTCAAGGGTTTTTTACTTACCCCTTTCTTTCAGCAACTGTCTATAATCCACAAACACAAATTCCATAGAAACAAATGGCAAACTCACTGTTTTACACTAGATTATTTACTTAGCCTGATATCCCTGCGGCTCTACTGGACCACTCAAATGGTCCGGCGATTTCTAAATGGACTGTAACTCTCAATTAAACTAATTAACAACTCTCAATTAAACTAATTAACAAACTACTCTGTAACATATCTTTATCTTTATTATACTAATTTTTGGAAGATGCTCAGGTTCCCACAATCACTCTCTGCTTCGCCATTGAAGCCAACTCTAAGGTAATTAACATTCTTTTTGTAAACAGTAACGATGGCAGCGCCATCTGGCTTCAGAGGGACTTAACAGAAGTAATTTGATTTATTAAAAAAGAATGTTACCTAAAGCTGGCTTATTTATGCGTGGTTTTGAAGCAATATATTTATCAAAATTACGACATGCAAAAATAATTCTTTTTATTCTTTTAGATAGATGTTTATTAGTTTTTACCATAACTCTCTGACTTGCTGTGAAATAAGTAAATATAGTAGTCCTCTGTTGTAATGCTGTTCTAAATATCGCGTTTTAGAATATTAACCGTCTCATGATAACATGCTTAGCAAGTTAAAAACGAGTTTCTTCAGAAGTCAAAGCTTTATTTTGCAAGCTGAAGTAGTGACTCGTAGATTATAAAATATATTCTATTAAATCATATAATTATTAACGATCTAATAATTGCAATAAAAAGTGCTACAAAGGCTCTTCGCACATTTTTTAGACGATTTTCATTGTAGTTGAAATTACATAAGATTTTTGTGTTTTAAATATTCCACTTGATAACTCTACTGTTACAACTCGAACACGAAATCAGTTAAGTTTCTCTTCTGCCAGTGGCAACGAGGAGTCGAAAAACGAACTTGGAAGAGAGCGGTCGCTCACTCGGTTTCTCTCGATAGAATTTGATACGAAGGGGGAATAATCCCCATCTTTTGATTTTAAATTAATCTCGAAGTATGTATATATTGTAATATAAAAAAGATGTGTGTAAATGAAAGTAATTAAGACTTAATTGACGTAGTGATTTGAATCGAATATACAAATCGTAAGCTCTCCCAAATAGAACTATGGATTATAGAAATAACACCTACTATCTTTCTACACCGTAATTTCCAAGACAATAAAGATTATTTTAGTTACAGAAGGTGTATTTTATTCCATTCCTCTTGAACAGTTTTCCGAAGTCCAAGGAGGGTTATAGGTCGATGTCTGGATAATCCGCTTTTTAAGAGTCCAGAAGCGGAAAAATCTGTGGAGGATACATCAAGAGATTTAGTAGGGATATAAGTGAAATATATGGCTTTGATACACGTTTCTTGTTCTATTTTTTTCCAGGAAATTAACAGTGGGTTTTGACGGGCGGCTGCTTGCTTTGTCTTGATGCAGTTCTACTTATTGATGGCATTGCGAATAAAGAAAAAGTATTTCATATTTGAAAATTTTGTATAAAATATATTCCTGATCATATGTGGAGTTGACCTTAAAAGTTTCTGCACTCTCTTTAAATTTTATTTGTCGTTATATCAAAAACCGGCAACAATCATAAATCCCTTTGAAAAACTTTCTTTTAACCATGTTCTAAGATTTTTTTCTTCTCTTTGATGATAATAAATGGATCTCTTTTCATTGCGGTCATTTAAATATACCCGTGATTCATCTATCCTAGCAGCATTTTTCCATTTTTGTCCGAACAGTTGTTTCTCGTGGAGAATTCTGCAGCGCGTTCTGCTTTCGGCGATATATCGTGGAGAAAGACGATGTACATTAAGTTTTTCCGCCTTTTTAAGATTGAAATCACTTTGCTTACAGTTGGCACTGAGCAATTTAATGATTACGCAATTTTCCTTTGACTTCGAAGATTTTCTTTTAAAATTAAAGTTCTTATCTTTGCAACATTCGAAACATTCCGTTTTGTCATTGGATACGTATTTTGAACAATTTTTCCACTTCAGACCAAATTTTGACGCAACAATAAGCAACGTACGTACCCAACAATAAGAATAAAAAAAGCTTTCTTTTCATCATATTTTCCCAATACTAAAGAAGAATTTCCGGTTTTCGTCATGTGGTGCATCGAATAAAGATCGCGGAAAAGCTAGTTGATAGTGGTTTCGAGATCACATTGTAAGGTTTATCCTAAGTTTCTAACAGTTAGTTTTAGTTAATGCGACTTTCCTATCCATTCTTAATTTAAGCTTACAATTTCTTGCCAGAACATGTTTTCAGAATCGCGGTTAATTGCAAATGAAGGAAGTGCAAGTGTTTAAAGTTGAAATTCTACTGATTTCGTTAGAGAGTATTCTGAGCAGCGCGCGTTCCGCCTTTTGCTTATACTCTCTCTCTCTCTTATTAAGCTATATTTACGCTCGGCCGTACTTTAGGACCTTAATAGCTTCGCCGTTAGTCAGCGGTAAGAGGCCAACTCTTGTAGAATCTTGATAGCTTCGGCTGTATCTTTTTAGTTTTGTTAAGTTTTATTCGTAGTATTCCTGAGTTCAAGCCCAAATGGAGGCTTTGGTGTAAATTCCAAGAATGAGTCTATAGAGTTAAATAGAGTAAAATAGAGTTAACTCTATTTTAAATACGAGATGTAATACAAGAGTAATTAACACTTCGTGCGTTTAATGTTTCTATCTTTCTAAACTAAGCGATTATTCGTTTATCAAGGTTCCACACATTAAACTGTACATTCTAGGTTGGAACATTACACTATATTATTTTCAGCCCTTTCCAAACAGGCTTTACTCATGCAAAGAAGCACATAAATGTTTGATCGGTCGATATGTTAAGAATTCGCCATCCCGTTTGATTTATGTCACTAATTGTAATTTTGTTACTTTAAGTTACGTTTACATTTTGTACAAAGTTTTAGAAATGCATGCAACATGCTAACAAAGCATCAAATGTGTAAAAAACAAGTCTGATCTAAGCTATTAATGACAGAAATTCATTGCAATTCACTCAATCAAATACATTCATAATTTTATGAACTATGAGCTAATTTTTGGTTATAAAAAGCAAATTTTAATTACTGTTATATGTAGGGTCGACCGCACAACATGTTGGCTAAAGCATTTTAAATGATTGATAATAAATAATGAAGAACAATTGCCCCTTCATGCATATCTGAATTTAATTCCAAAATTCTGCAGTAATTAATCACTATCAATTTAATAAAATTTACAATTTTTTCCATTTTAATAAATCACTTGCTTTTAGTTTCGAACCCGGATTTTGATAATTGCTTTGTTTCACTTGGAAGCCCGAATTTTGAACTTCGAATTAGTCTTATTATCTACTTCAAATTTTGTAAAACTTTAACGAATTTTTGTTTATCAAACTCAAGGATTTCAAAGCGAACAAAGGCAACATTGTACAGGAAAAACATTTTTATCTCCAGCGCGCGAGACGACTATCTGTCGGAAATTCTAAAGATATGCTCTTTTTAAATATTTTGTGATAACATACTGCACATAAATTGAATTTTATGTGGTTTAAAGGCGAAAAACATGATATTTTCTAAATAAAGGTAAAACACAATACGTTAAAAAACGGCCTTATGGGCGTAATAAACCTCTTTAAAGGTAATGGGACAATAAGGATATAATAGTCTTATGCTTTCTTTTGCCAATAAATTTGCCAAGTTATTGTGCCTGAGTTCTACATGGGATGGAATGTTGTAAAAATGAGTAAAATTCATCATTTTTAGTAACACGGGTGGCTTTCAATGAAAGTTTGGTCAGGAAAACTTGAAAATTTGTTTTATGATATTCATCTGAAAATTCCTTATTTACGTGCTTCATAAATTACTTTTCTTTAAGTGCAGGAAGAAAAATCCAAGGACAGCTGATAATAAAGATAATAGAAGTAAAATGCGAAGGCTATAGAGTACTCCTTTTTCGTCTTAAAATAAACAACACTGCGAGCTACACCATCTCATTTTTCCTTTATTCGGAAATGATGGCCTGCTGGGTAAATATTGTTCTCGTCAAGGCGATGTATTTATAGAACAATCCATTTGGACTGCCGAGACTGAGTAATAATATTAATTCAACTTTTAGGAAGTCCACGTGATCAAAATTACTATCTTCTAGTTAATGCACGTTTTCTATTAATTATACTGTGAATGAATTATTACTGTTATTATTATTGTTATTAATGAATTATTAATTATATTGTTAATTAATTATTAATTATACTGCACAATCATCAAATACTGTTAATCTGCTGTAAAATTTCTTTCGAAAATGTGATAATAAATCTTCTTATGAAGGGTGAACAGGAGAAAGGAGAAACATTTATCAGTAAAAGATATGCATTTCATAACAAAAAAAAATGTTTTTTTAAAGATATTAAATGTAGTTAAGTTCATAATTTGTGATATTTGTTTCCGTAAGTTACAAAAAAAAAAAAAAAAAAAAAAAAAAAAAAAGAGCGAACGAAACTTAAATGATCATTTTATGCTATGAAAACAATTTTTTTTTCATTCAAATGTAAAATTTCGTGATACTGGAAATAGTGATGATTGATTAATCCTACTACCTAATTTGTCAAAGAGCTCGCCAGCGGGTGGGTGATTATAATACTGATTAGGA